TTGAATGTAATGTGAGTAATGTTCCCCTTCGTATCAGTTGTGAGATCAGTTTCCTTGGACAATTTTGTAAGGGAACTTGGTCCCATTGGTTTGCCACTATATTAGAGCTCTGGATAAATCCAAAACAATCTTTTACCCAATTATTTTGTAGATAATTAAATTGGATGTGTGTCCCACTTCCCATGATTTGTAATATTATGTTTAGTTATCCCTATATTTAACAACTAATAATTCATTAAGGGTATGAAAAATAAAATGAAATGTAGATATTCACAGCTTTTCATCTTGGTCGTTCCATATAAGCCTTTTGTTAATCTTTGTTATAAACTCTGGCAGTCAGCATAGAGAAGGTATACAGAGAAGATGGGAAATAAAACAATGTAATTATTTCTGCTCTTTTTTTGCAATGTTTGTCATGACTTTACATTGTCTACAATGGATTATGATGTAATTTACCAATTATTTATGTAAAATTAAAAGAAAAAAGAGCAACTAAATATAATAGGTTAACATGGGGTATAGGTAATTCTCAATGGTATAAATTCCAGCAGAGTGATAGTTCCCCTTTAAATTTATACCTAGAAATATTACCGTTTCAATGTTACATTAGTGTTTCTATGTATTTTATAATGCATTATATCAAAATTATATGTCCATCTAGTTCCAAGCCAAGTAAAGTCGTGTGGCTAATTTGATGTCACTAATATTAGATGTATAATAGACTTGTGCACAGCAATATAATTTGGTTTGTGCAGAAATTTTTGTTTTTTGTTCGGCCTATCCAAGTTTCGTTTATGTGGCATTTCGGTTTGGACAAATTTTGTCCATGCAATCACACCAAAATGGAGTGAAAATGCACCAATTAGTGTGCTGCAAAGCGAAACCGGACAAAATATTCCCTAGCTTAATTGCAATTTCATATCAAGCATTTTTGCAATTTGCAAAGTACAAGCAGTGGAACTGAAGCACACTGCAAAATCAACTTTTCTCACAAGAAATAAAAAATAAAATGACAAATCAGTAAAATAGTTCTAAAGCAGTGAATAAACGTGGCAGTGGCTAGGCATAGCAGTAATCTTACCACCTCACCAGTCTGACACCAAGATCAATGACACAGGCTGTCCTACTCCCACACAGGCACAGCAATGGTTAAACACACAATGGTGATTGCTGGTCTGTCTCCCTCAGTAGCTAAAGTCAAAGTGTCTGGAAGAACCCTGCATGAAAATCTATAGATTATTTTTACTACTACTTCTATTAGTGCTACTTTTCCTCTGTTGGTAATTTCTAAATATCTGTGAATAAAATGAACATTTAGCTGCTGTCCTCTACCCATCAATCATCTTTTTTCCATCAGTCATCTTATTTCTTTCCCACGTCTTTTTTGCACAGCAGATACAGCTCAAATCATTTGTTAGACCTTCTTGCCCGACATGGCAAACTAAGATGGTTAAAAAAAAAAAAAAGAAAAAAAATCAGCCGCTTCTCCATTTTTCTTCCCCTTTTCTGGTGCCACGAGCAGCACTCTGAATAAAGAAACAAATTAAATGGTTTTGTCTATTGTCCACTAAGTTTGTTTCCTGATACATCCATATGGTGTTTCAGAGTTGTGGAATTCGGACAAAACGCTGATCACCCGAAATTCAAATGAATCCCAATTCTGTTGAAATTGAACGCACAATTTTAATATATAATAACTTATATGTCAATAATATAAGATGTATAATAACTTAAAAATATTAATAGGAGAGCTACTTTTAACACGGCAGGAATTTGCAAAACAAACGCTTTAAGGATTATCACCATTTGCTAAGATGTTTTAATTAAATGGTTTTATCTGGAGAGGGATAAAGAAAAAGCATTGGCACTTTGTAAAGAGATATGCTTTCAGTTTATCATCTAAAGAGGCTGATTGTTTTTTACATCACTAATAACGTGGCTCAGTAGAACTTTGTACTAACTTATCACTAGCAAAGTTTTGCTTAGAGAATAAATCATATTTCTTTTACAAACAAGGTTATATACTCGGGTGTAAATTGTCAGGAATTCAGTGTGAATTTAAAGCAGATTTTGAATTGAAGCTGGACTGTAAACATAGTTGACTTAGGGAATCTTTTCAGTTCAGCTAATTTTGGCCTTAAGTTTGAAATTAATTTTAATTTACTTTAAATTCTGAAAAATATCACACTATACAAAATAGACTGCGTGTGAAAATCTACCTATATATTTACTATTGTCTATACTATTTAACATCCTCTCTTGGCTTTAATGCCAATTTCTTGCAGTTATCTACATTTCTTTCTTGTTTCCCTTCACACGATTTCTCATTCTGCATTTTTCCCCGTCTTTTGCCCACTGCCACCTGGATATCCTCAGACGTTCTTCACATGAACCCATCTAAAACAGAAATAATCTTGTTATTTTCCCTATGTCTTTTATTAGAGGCCACATTTCTTTCTCTTTAAATTAAACCGGTATGGATATAATTCAGTCATTCTTGTTGTAGATATCAGAATTTATTAGTTTGACTTTTTTGATATCTTTATCTTAAGGCTAAACTTTGAGTTATAACATTTAATTTGAATTCAATCCTTCAATACAAATACAGATTTTTTAGTATTGGATTTGTAATAAAAATCACATTTTAGATTCTAAATGCTATTTGGCTGGACACTTTTTTCAGTTCTTTTCAGTTTTCTTTATTTCTTGTACTCTATTTTCAAATGCCTCACTCTTGTGTAGCCTTGTATTCATCTTCTCTCTTATATCCTACTATACCCCTACCCATTCTTTACACTCTTTCACCTTTACGTCCCTACTCCACCCCCACACCAATGTTGTTCTTCTCTATTCTGTTCATTCTCACTCCTGGACCCCTACTACTATAACAAGTTTTCACCCCAAATCCAATACATGACCTTTCACTCATCCTTTCATAATCTCCTAAAAAGATGATTCTTTAGTAAAACATTCCCAGATATGCCTCAATTCTCAAATTGTCTGGCTGATCTGCTTCCATCCAATATTCCTTGCTCCCAGCTCTGTAACATTTGTCTTTACTACCATTTCTCCTAGCTATATCTTATTTCCTTCTTATGAGTCTATTGTTTTTGTTCAGAGAAATTTTCTTGTTCTGTTAGTTGTTATACACTGAGAGAAAAAAGTATTTGATCTTCTGCAGATTTAACTGTCTCACTGTTAAAATACACTTCCATTAAAATTATAGACTGATAATTTCTTTGTCAGTGGGCAAATGTTCAAAATTAGCAGAGGATCAAATACTTTTTTTCCTTCACTGTATGTAACATTTGCTATTCTTTGTATGTTCAACACTTTAACTGTTCTATCATTTATAATTATGTAACCACAATGTCCTATAACAATGTCTTACAACTCAGTGACCCCCACAGCATGGGGAAACGGAGTAATAACACTGCAAATGCTCGAAAAAAAAAAAAAGCCAAGGAGGGAGCCAGCAGTGCTACCAGCTCCCTCCTTGTAATAATGTTAATTCCTACTCCCCCCCCCCCACCGCATTAAAGTCTATGGGGATCACTATGACCCCATGTTAATAAAAGGGATGTTAAATCCTCCCACATGCCCCTACTCACGGCAGTGGCTGCTCGCTGTCATTTAACACTAAATATAAATCAGTTTGGGGTCACTATGACCCCCATATTGATAAAAGGGAGGTTAATTTCTACTGCATGCCCCTACTCGCGGCATGTCGTCTAATCAAATTTAAAACTACTAGTGAAAGGGCAGCTATTGCAGGTGGAGGCTATTAATATAAATGGGTGGTGGCTATTAATATAAACCCCCTCAGGTCCCCACCCATGATCAGCAGGTGGGGACCTTAATTAAATAAATATTGGGGGGGACCTAATGCCCCACCCATGAGCCGTGAGCCTAATGTTCCCCCTGGTCCCCACCCATAGGTGGGGACTCTAGATAAATAATGCGGGCGACTTAATGTACCCCCCCATGTCCACACCAATGAGTGGCGTGTGGGGACCCTAATTAATTAAAGGGAGGACCTAATGTCCCCCCTGCTCCGCAAACATGAGCTGCGGGTGGGGACTCTAAATAAATAGTGGGGGGGACCTAATGTCCCCCCTGGTCCCCACCCATGAGCGGCGGGTGGGGACCCTAATTAAATAAATAATGGGGGGGACCTATTGTCCCCCACCAGGACCCCACCCATGAACGGTGGGTGGGGAACACAAATAATAAAGATACTAGGGGTCCCTAAGCCCCTAGTCACTCCCCCCCCCAATTAAAATACCCCACCTACCCCCACCACCCTAATAATAGTGAGAGGATTGACAATAAACTAACTCTGTAAAATAAAATGTCATAGTTACCATTAGATGTCTTCTTTCTTCTTTTCTTTTCTTTCTTCAGCCCCAAAAAAGACCAAATAAAAATTCATAATGCCTGTCGCAACTGTTAAAATAAAGAGAGAGGCAGGACGAAATGATGAAAACAATTTTTTTTTAAACTAATTTCATTAGAAAACAAAGGGTTTATGAAGGAAATTCGGGATTAACGAATGAAATTTTTATTTAGTACGAAATCATTCGTACAAAAAGAAAATGTCACTTGTGCACATGTCTATTTTCAGCAGAAACCAAAAAACAAACAAACAGTCCAGTATAACTTTTTGTGTTAAGCAATGTGAAATATTTCTTGGCATAAGGTTCAAAAGATACTGTAAGAACTATTTTTGGATTACGGGCTGATTGAGGCAGGACCAGAGGTCCATACACCCTTGCTGAATACACATTATAGGTGGGTGCTCACTGAATTTGTTGGTTGGAGAATAAAGGCATGATAGAAACTTATTATATGAGGTACCATTTCCAATTGGATGGTTAGTCTTTAATACTAAGATTTTCACATGCATACAGTATATGTTATGCTCATCAATATAATCACATTTGTTTTCTTTAAAAGGTTTTTTTTCCTTTCAAATGACGAGCTGCTCGAAATCTTATCAGAAACCAAAGACCCATTGAGGGTACAACCTCACTTAAAGAAGTGCTTTGAAGGGATAGCTAAGCTGGACTTCACTGAAGATATGGAAATCACCGGTATAGTCAGCTCAGAGAGAGAAACAGTTCCTTTAATTCAGAAAATCTTTCCGGCTAAAGCAAAAGTAATTTTACTTTCTATTTTTTTTTCTTATTCTTAATTTAATATGTGCTTATTTTTATTGTCTTTGAACAACCCAGTAGTATTAACTTTACAGGTGAACAAAGGAACAATCTGTTGATGACATTTAATGTTGGATCTGTTATAAACAGCAAAACTGCCATAGAGCGCAACGAGCATAGGTGGTTATGATCTCTGAAGATTTCTTATTATGAACTTTGTGTATGATCTTTACGATGGATGTAATGGTAGATTTGAATAATCTACGTATACAGTATGAAATATCTATTGTGTCCTCCTTGTGTGTTCCACTGTGTTTTCATCGAAGGCCTTGCACTGTGATGGGACCTCAGCTGGTCTCTATCACTGTCAATCTGATTAAAAGACAATTATCAAATGATGCCACATGTTGTAGGTGCATTTTAGAACCATATAATTGTACTGTATGAGATATTTGAAAGGCAAATTTGTAACAAACCATGTTTACTTGAATCTAATGTTTTTTGGAAAAGAAAGTTTCCAAAATTTGAATGCGCATTAAATCCAAGTTGTCCGACTAATTGCATTCCAGCTAATTTCATTCCAGGTCAATTCATATAAGCAAATTAAAACTGGTGATTTCAAACAGGTGAATTCACACAGGCAAATTCATACAGGCGAATTCACACAGGCTAATTTCATTCTGGCGAATTCACGTAATTTATTCATTCTGGCGAATTTACGTAATTTATTCAGGTTAATTAAAAAAAGTTTCAGCTTCCGGGGCGGGGCTAGGCAGCCGACTGAGGCAGATGTGTGTCGCAGGTGCTCCTCGACAAAACCTGGCAATAAACAGATTACAGGGGTATTTCACCCGATTTTCAAAGACAAACTCGACTAACTCACCTGCATATACTGTGCCAGCAGCCCGGCAGAGTCGTGGAGAATAATACCAAGCACACATCACAATCTGCCCCGGAGGCCTACAGTGTCAAGTGGAATGGAGGGGACGGCCGGTCCTTCACCTCACTAACTTAGCATTTTGGGCCCTGTACCCCCCTTTGGACCGGTGGGGGTTATCCCAGTCCCTACTGACAAACCGACCTGACGCACCTGCTCACTGCAAGCCCGGTGGGACTGAACACCCAAAAGCATACAGCCGTATGGTGAGCTCAGAGGAGCCATCCAGGATGGCAGCCGCACCTACTTCACAGGAGCGTGCCTCACAGCAACATGAAGGAGACCCTTCTGACCCACTGCAGGTGGGACAGGATGGGACTCTCAGGGAGTTAGCGCCCAGGACTCGCTGAAGCTGTCACTCGCACAAACCTGGGGACTGAGGATTATCATGTCCTGCTCATACTGTGCCACTATGGGCAGTGCCTACCTTGTTCCCATAAAATGCCTCCCAAGTCTGGGCATAGGGTGACTCTGGACTTACCCAACTGCGCAGCCCTACTGGTGCTGCTTAGCAGTCTCTGGTTGCCATTCTCCCCACCGCAGAAAATCGCAGACCAAGTTTCATGTTAACTAATGTTTTAACTATGTGCACTCTCTTGCATAGCTTTTTGTACCATGATCCTTAAAGGACCACTATAGTGCCAGGAAAACAAACTCATTTTCCTGGCACTATAGTGCCCTGAGGGTGCCCCCACCCTCAGGGTCCCACTCCCGCCGGGCTGAATGGGGAGGAAGGGGTTAAACACTTACCTTTCTCCAGTGCTGGGCTCCCTCGGCGCTGTGGACTTTCCTCCTCCTTCCGACGTCATCAGCTGAATGCGCATGCGCGGCAAGAGACACGCATGCATTCAGCTAGTCCATAGGAAAGCATTCTCAATGCTTTCCTATGGATGCTGGCATCTTCTCACTGTCAAAATCACAGTGAGAAGCGCAGAAGCGCCTCTAGCGGCTGTCAATGAGACAGTGACTAGAGGCTGGATTAACCCTAATGTAAACATAGCAGTTTCTCTGAAACTGCTATGTTTACAGAGGCAGGGTTAACCCTAGATGGACCTGGCACCCAGACCACTTCATTGAGCTGAAGTGGTCTGGGTGCCTATAGTGGTCCTTTAATGTGTTAGCGTGAAATATACTCTTCTACAAGACATCTTGTCGGCCCCAGCCTGATTACACTATAATTGTAGGCATGTAATAACCCACTCGCATAATCTCATAAGCATGGCGGTTAGTACGTATAGCTAGTAGCTCCGATTTCCCTTACACCTAACCATGCTTCTCCAACTCGTGCCACTAGTGTAGATGTGCCCTTATGTAATATGACATGCTACTGTATACTCTAGATAACTTACATTCGTCCTCGTGGCACACATGCTGAGATTTAGTTAATTTTTTATTTATTTCTTAAAACTTAACAGGCACTAGCTGACATTTTGCTTAAATGCAGGTACATGGTTATGTACTAACGTTGATAACCCACCGACATAGACAAAAACACCTGTTTCTAAAACCTACTCCTTAAAAATGTGTTTTCTAAAAATGTGCAACGTTTATACATGCCACGCTTTATATTACCATGTATGTCATTTAATGACTTGTCTTTGCTGTCGTGGCAACGCAAGTATGTATGTTCCTACTTATATGCACGGAAAAATAAAGAATTTAAAAATCCAGGTTTCAAAAATTGAGGTGCGCATTAGATTCAATGGCACATTAGAGTTGAGTAAATAAGGTATAAAGACATTGAAATAAGTTAATACATTTACGTTACTGATTTTTATTTTTTGTTTTTTTGTTTTGTTTTTTTAATTGTGAGACTCACATGATTTATAGTCAGCAGTGATATCTTGCATGGTTCCAGTCCTATCATAAGATGTGAAATATGTGCAGGTCACATCCTGGCATTGGGTATGTTTCATTGTAGTGCAAGGAGTGCAGTTAATTTTGGGAACCCTGGGAGATGCAGACATTTGTTTTGTTAACTTTGTCAAATAAATATTTATAGCTATTTTAGGTGATACTTGTTAAAAAAGTGATATCCAGATCATCTGATATGTAGGGTGCATAACTTCCAGGACAGGAGGACTACATTGGTAGAAGTTTTTTAAGTTGCTTGTTTTTAGGAATTATTCAGTTTGTCTGTCTGTCTGTCTATCTGTCTGTCTGTATGTCTATCTATCCAACTTAAATGTGAGAACAAAATCAAGTCTGCAGCACTTACCTATGAATTCACGTTGGGAATAGAGATCCCCTTTCTTCAGACCTATTGGTATGTCTTAAAGGGACACAATAGTCACCAAAACAACTTTAGCTTAATGAAGCAGTTTGGCTGTATATATCATGCCTCTGAAGTTTCACTGGTCAATTCACTGCCATTTAGGAGTTAAATCATTTTGTTTCTCTTTATGCAACCCTGACCACACCTCTCCTGGACGCGACTCACCCAGTCTGCATGAAAACAAAATGGTTTCCATTTTAATCAGGTGTAACTTACTTTAAAAGTATTTCTCATTCTCTGTAAATTGAACTTTAATTACACAGAGGAGGCTCCTGCAGAGTTCAGCAAGCTATCAACAGTGCACCAGATAAGGAATTGTAAGTTAAACAGAATTGGCAATAAAGGAAATGCAAACATTAGATGACTCTTTTCAGGAAGTGTTTACGAAGGCCGTGTAAGTCACATGCAGGGAGGTTTGACGAGGGCTGCATAAACAAAGTTATTTAACTCATAAATGGCAGAGAATTGAGCAGTGAGACTTCAGGGGCATGATCTGTACACCAAAACTGCTCAATTAAGATAAAGTTGTTTTGTTGACTATAGTGTCCCTTTAACATGCCTGAAATATGTGTGAATGTATTTTTCTATATTTTAAACTGTAACAATAAAATGTATTTTACTTACAGGATGAGTCCTACACAACTTTTTAAAATCGTATGATGATTAAATTAATATGAGGTCTACAGGACCCTCCTATTAACCGGGGTTTGCATGTCCCATTATATATGGTCCTATATATTGCCTTGCTCCATAAAGCCCATACATTACATTTGGACCCATGTTTGGTGTTTAGTAAACAACCTTACAATTGCTTTAGCATACACATCTTTGGGTTTAACCAAATTGCCACCTGAATAATAAATATTACTAAATCAATCTCCTGAACAAAATACAAAATAAAGTAAACCAAATACACATACATAATTTATTGCACTGAGAAGTAAAACATATAAAAAAATATCTCTGTAAATTCAGAATATGCAGACAAAACATAAATTCATCTTGTATGTCAAATCTGGACTCGGAGGGTCATTAATCACATATGTTGCAATCAAAAATTGGAATACATGAAAAAAAAACAGAGAGATATTGGAGCAAATATTACATCCAAATTCTGACATATATATGCAAAAATAAATCTATGCTTGCATATTGTAGAAAATTATAATGCGGAAGCACGTTTGGAATGCTCTCTGCATCCCAAAAGCAGTAAATGTAACGCAAAATAAAAATCTCAGTATGTGAACAATTTTATAAAGCTTGCAGATACATCTAAAATACAAACATATGGTTTGACACTTGTCTAGGGATCTCGGGAATGAGAATGTAATTTTTTATGTCCCCTTGGGGAAATATAAATCAATGTTTGTATCTGAAAACACATTAACATGATTTTTAGAGACAATTTGCCCAAGGAGTTTTTTAAACTTGTTTAAAGGGCAAAAAAAACAACACACGCTATTTCCTCTTATATTGCAGCTACATACATGCATTCATAAAAATATTTTTTTCATAAATATTTATTGGATTTAATATATATATATTGATAACACATACTCATTCATATAACCCACACGAACATATTACAACATTTACAAAATTACAATACATACTAAGACAAATGTTGGAAAGATACAGGAATGGAGCATTACTGATTACATGTTTTACTTCTATCTTTTTAAAGTAACAATATCACTAAAGTGTGTAAATTACTCAATTAAAGGACCACTATAGTGCCAGGAAAACACTCGTTTTCCTGGCACTATAGTGCCCTGAGGGTGCCCCCACCC